AGAAATTTAATAAACGATTCTTGAAGTAAAAAGTAAAGTGGAAGGCGGGCAGGAAAAGGGTGATTTGAGATTTTAAATATATATAAAATCACTTAACTATTTCCAGATTTTATACCATATAAAACAGCAATATTTAGTCTGTTGAGATTTCTATTGAGAAAGTAATTAAAAACGTATAGACACAATTTCATTTAAATAAGTTCTTAAATTCCCAGTTCACCAAATGCTACTGTTATAATTTTTTGTTAATAAAAAATCAGGAGCGAATTACCTACTATAGGGTGTGCAAATTTGAAATGGCTATGACTTCACCCTTAGGTCTAAACTGGTACTCTAACTAAACTGTATTCTCTTAAAACAAATCTAATTTTTTAAAACACAGGCAAATAGAAAGCAATATGCAGAAAGAAATATTTTCAAAATTAGGATAAAAAAGTAAACAGACATAACCCACCTAGTGGGTGAATCACACTTTTGTACAAAGATATGCCTACTTTTTACACATGTATGTAAAATACATGTTTTTTACATACAAGTGAAATCATGTGACAAAGTTTTGGATGGAATATTAACTTTGGTCCAACTAGAAGTATGGACAAAAAAGGAAAGATTTTAATTGTATTAATTACTTTGGCAACTTGAATCCATGACAATGAAGAAGGAAAAAGGACCAGAATTCAAACAGCTGACACGATGATCAGCAGCAACTGACATCTCATTTGATATTTGATATCAAGCACTGGATCAATATTTGTGAGATCAATGCAATTTTAAAGGTTTTCATTTGAAACTGTGAGAAAGCCAAATTGTGACACCCTGTTCCTGGGTTATTCTTAGAGCTGGCTATTATAGGGAATGATATTAAGTAATTTACTGAGGCAAAGCAAAAGCAATCCCCCTCCCAACTCTAAACAAAATCCTCCAAAGCAATCCATCAATATTTCTTCAGTTGGTAAGCCTTGCTTACCTAAGTACTTAGAAAAGGTGTGCAGCTATATTGGGGGGGGGGGAAGCCATTTATTTAATTATGGTTAACAAAACACAGAAGAAAATAAGCCTTTCAAGATTTTGAGGTGCATGAAGATGAACTGAATCAGAGATACCTTTTTGAGACACAAAGGGATTAGGTGGCACTTGAACAAAAAGAAATGAAAATGATAAAAGGAGAAAACCAAGGCCTTTCAACTATAGGGTCAATCCCCTCATATGTGGAATTCAGTGGGAACTAAATAGATTTCTCTGTGTCTCAGGCAGAGTAGAAATCTAAGAGTCCTATCTGAAACTTATAACAAGGGTCCAACAAAGGTCAGATAGAGAAAAAAAAAGTAATTAGAACATATATTGTCTATCCCTTTTGAGAATCTATACCTTAAAAATAAAATGCAAATTAATGTAACTCAGAAGCACATAGGTCCTCAATATATGTCTGTACTATAGCAAGGTCCTACTCTGTGTATGTTCCTCTTTTCTGCTTAGCAGACATCACTGTTAACTTATTTGCTAACCAACTCATTTTATTTGATAAAACACTAAACTTGGATTTATTTATTCTACAGATTCAATTTTGAGGAAATTTCACCTTGAGGGATCCAAGACCTTCAGTCCAAACAGCAATTTCTGGGGATACAGATGTGGGGGTTATGCAGAGGGAGTACAACTGGGTGAACATCCCAGTAAGGACAGTGAAAAGGTGAGATGTGATGATTGTGGATGGTATTCCTCACAAGCAGATGTTTAAATTTTTAGACATAAAGAGAAAGAAAATGTCTTTCATTTGTAATTCAACTTTAATGAAAAACTTGGGAGATAATTCTTTTTCACTTGAAATAACAGGAAGATTTAGAAGATACCTGATGCCTGACCAAAAGACCTCTTCTTCAGGACAGAGAATAAAATACTTAAAAAGTATGCAGTTCTTTAAAAACATTAAATTTTTTTTTGTTATTTGATGAGCGTGACTTGTTAGATTTGAATGATACTTTATGACTATATTATTACACTCATTTCAAATAAAAGGCATTGTATTATATGCTTTCCAGTGAAATTCATACTTGAATCCTTTTGTAGTAGGATTAAATCATGTACCTAGCATATTCTTTAAGACCTGAGGTAAAGGCATATTTTCCAAGATTTTAGTAACTTAAGAATAGTCACTTTTGTATAAGTCTCTGTGGCCTATTGTATTTCCAGTTTAGCAGATTGCCTTCAAACTAGAGACACCAATGGTTTAAGTCATTTTTCTTTAATGAAATAAAGTCAGCCTTACACACACATACATATACTGAGAATTTACAGATGCAAATGAACTTGAGACATTTACAAATATTTGTTACAATGTCCTGCAGCATTTGAACATGAAAAATTTCTTTATAAGAAAGTTTATACAAACGATCCCGGTGATCAACATGTATTCAGTATCTACCATATATGTTACAGGTACTGAAGACACATACATACTATATCTCTGGTGGAATGGGCATGTGTACTCCATACATGGACATGAATCTGCACACATGTAGTGTGTACACATGCACAAACATATGTATTTTTCCTATTAGGTCTTTAAAAAAACCCTGAGTTATTTCAAAGGACATGAACTTTATATTCAATTACAGCTAATTTGTACTATATGTTGGCTAATCATAATCTGACCTATAATTTTTTCCCTCCTAGCATGAAGGACAGTACTTAGAATTTAAGTTTAGTGTTTCAAAAAACACTGCTCTTCTTAAGCCACTTTGAAGCTAGTGAGTATAGGATCCAGATCTACATGTTAATCTCTAGTTTTGCCTTCAAACAGAACTCAGTTACAAAGAACTTGGAAAGATTTTGAATCTATTCAGAAGTGGAAAACTCTTTAATTTTCTGAGGAGTAAAAACTCCCCAAGAAACTTCATATAGCTTCTTAGATTTTGCTTAGCATACGTGATAAAACATTGATTGTTGCAGTTTGGTGACCCATGAAATTTGGGGGTTAGTTTTCTCTTCAGACCAGAGCATATAATTATGCAAATAAAGAGCTGTCACTGATCTAGTGAAATACTCACAAACACATGCACTCTGAAATTGGACAGAAAAGTGAAAATGGTTGGTGATGTGATGGTGCCATGGTTTGTTTTCCTGCCAAGTTTCTATCCAAGTTCATTATTCAAATTGTAAACTTTAAAAAGAGACATATCATTCTTGGGGGGTTGGTTGTCTTTTCATTTTAGATTCTTTGTATTGATACTGCAGGCTGGCTACAAAGTACAGTTCAACATTATTTTACCTATGACAGTCTCTCATATTACCCGATGGAATAACCTTGGATGTAAAAGTTGAATGATCTGGAAAGAGACAGGGTCTCTCCAGATTTCTGTCCAGAAACATGTTTCATGTCTGTTTCAAATAGAACTCAACTCCAACAACATAGAGACTATAGTGAAAGATTTTCCACAACTCTGAAGGCAAGAGACTAGGACAGGTTGCTTGGAAGGCCTCATGGATTAAATGAAATTTCCATTTTTAAGCTTTTTTTTACATTCAAGGGGGAAATGTTGGTCACTGCATGATATCCACTTAATGGCCAAACTTTCAGGATGATTTTCTCCTATATAGCAATTAAAGCCCACTATGTAATATTTGGTAACTTTAACCTTTATGGTTCATTTACAATTACCACTCCTCTAAAACCTTTGTGTTAAGAATTAACAAGAGTTCTTCCATCTAACCATGCTCTTTGGCACTGAGGGCTCCCATTTCCAAAGTTACCATTGCACAGACTGTTGCATAATTTTAGATGTCATGGAGAGTGCCACTGATGAAATGTGAGCAGCTCATGTCAGACCACTGACTGCTAAAGACATCACTACATGAAAGATCAGTGGTGTGAAACTTTAAAAACATTGATCCAAATGAATCAATTAAATCAACATTCATACCTCCTAAGTGTGAGGTTTAAAACTATCATTGTTGCTTTTTTTTTTTACCCTACATAGATTTTGAGATAAACGTTGGAATGCTTTGATGGCAACTTCTATTCTTGAATCTCCGTTAATCGACTTTGTGCTATTTCCCTCTTTTCAACATCTTCCACTTGGTGTACATTCTTTACTTTTAGTACAGTGCATGACAGTTGCAATGCTTTAAATCTAAAACCGCCTAACAAAGCTGACGCTTTAGGTAGGGTAGCTTTAAGCTCTGTGAAGTGTTGATTAAAAACCCTTTCCCAGACTCAAACTGATCTTTTTGGAGATTAATAGAATATTAGATAAAAGGAAGACGAACAATTCAAGAGACTCCCACTCAGTCACTCTATACAAGGAAGGAAGGAAGGAAAGTATTCAATTTTTGAAAGGGAGTACCTCCTGGAGTCTTTTATTTTATATTATTACAGCCCTTAATAAGTAATCATAAAATAACCACCACCATTATCCTTTCCTTTTTTTTTTTTTTTGGCCAGTCATAATTCAAAGATGAGAATGTCTCACATTTATTTAAGGACATTTTTCTCCACATAGGTATGGGGCAAATTTTCAAAAAATTTTTAGACTTTCTGTAATAGCAATCTTTCTAAAATGAGTCAAGATTATAGACACCAAAAGGATCTTGTCTATTTAGTTACAAACTATGGTTATAACAGGAGACAGACATGTTTGTATTGAAACTCCAGATAAGTCAGAGAAACATGAAAAAAAATCTAACTTATTAGCACTGATAAAGTTAACATATTTTGTCACCTACACGCTCTCAAAGGAGTTACAGGTTTTCAAGAAGGAAAAGCTGTAAAATAAATGTAAACAAGATAGTTCCAGATTAGATGTAATACCTCAAGGACCTATATAGGGACTTCAGAGCAACTTAATCTCACCAAACTCCTTTCAGAAAACACATTTGTTTACAGTCTATTAAAACATATTTTATAAAACAACAGTTTAACAACAGACTTAAAATTTCCTTGTAGCTAAGGAAATATTTGAGATACTAAAAACAAATGTCTTAAAAAAAAATGTTAGCTTTGTGAAAGGTCCAAGCCAAATAATGACTCAAATGAAGACAGTTTATTACCTTACAGCAATAACAGTGAAGTACCAATAGGTATAATATATTGATGGATGTTGTTTCCATCACTCTTTTTGAAGTTTCTGTTATTATTAATCTCTATACAGTTGATGAATAAATAAACTGAGCAAGAATAATACACCAATGCTTGTTGGGAAAATTGTTTTTATTTTAAAATGGTAAACAGAAATATATAATAGATAGGAAACTCCTGTGCTTTATTTTTTTTCTTCCTTTGTATAAACAGCAACATAGTCCACGTTGAAGCACAAAGGAGAAACTTGAGAAAATAACAATTATTACAAGTAGATTCCCCCAACCCCTTCAATTATCCGTGAAAACTTACAAGGACTGGTTAGGCATCTTTAGAAAGCTCCAAAGTCAATATCTGATTTTTAAGTTTTAACGCCTCTTTTGAGTCTTTGATTTATCAATAACCCTTTGCTTCCCATTTCACTTGGCTAAGATCTGAGTATATAATTAAAAAACAAAAACAAAAACAACAAAAAAAAACCCCACACACCCTAATAGACTCCAAAAACTCCTGTCTCTATAAACCAAACAGGGAGATCAGAGCAGAAATATTATTAACACTTGTCGCCTCCAAGCAGGCGGGCTACTACCAACTGCTTGTTGTTACTCCAGGAAAATTGAGGTGTATGATATTATTACATTTACACCAACAGACCCATAATCAACAGGTTAAAAAATCTTACTTTACAAGGAATCTTATCAGTTAACAGCTGGAGGTCTGGAATGGTTAGCCTAGATCTCTCCAGGTTGCAACAGCTCAGATCCACAAGTAGAAATTACATTTACACAACTTAAGTTTGCAAATAGCTCTCTATAGATAGTTAAACAAGGCCTAAACCAAGGTAGCTGAAAAGTATTACAGGCAATTAAACGACGACTTACTTGAATTATAAAGGTTTTTTAAAAAGAGGCGATAAAACTGAAGAGAAAAGAAGTGATCTGATGTATAAGCTGAGCATATTTACTTTGCTCTAATTTAGCTGCAGAAGCTTCATAAATTTAGCACTGCACCAATGTTGATTAAAAAATTACAATAAAATTAGTTTTCTGCAAAACTTCTCATGTACTGGAAATACCACTTAATTTATAGTACTTGGAGAAATATATTCCAACCACATCAATTCTCAAAAATCCTCTCAAAGGAAGGTACCATTATTTCACACAGTTCGACATTTCTAAAATAGGAAAGACTGCAGACAAGCGTTCTTGACATGGCTGGGATAATACAGTTTAATCTATCCAGGAGCTGGAGAAGATGATGTTTTAATTCTTAAGTTGGTTCTGCTACAATAACATCAAAAGATGCAAATATGACCACTGAAAAAAGGTCGATTTAATTTGCCATCATTAAAACTGTAAGAACTAATTAATGTACCTGTATACCAAACACAAATATGATATTATCAGTTTGAAAACGTGCTGAAATGGGTTAATAATAAAAACAGCTATCTAGGAGGTGGCTATTTGAAGTTATTTTTCTGAAGAGACAGTTGGTCTAAGCCATTTTAGATACATTTTATCATGTCCTCAAGTAAGGCAGATATATTAATTGTTGCACACACTTTAAAAAAGGGTGAAAAAATATTAAATTCAGATCCTCATCTATCAGAAACAGAATCATCCCTAGGTAATTAAATTCTTCAAGTAATTAAGATTGATATTGTTTAATACTTGAATTTCAAAGTCAGCATAATCTAACTTATTTTACCTCTCAGATCTGATTCACAGTGTTGACCAGATGTTAGCTGGATAAAATATTCAATTGTTGAAACTGTAGGGCAAATCCTTATAGTGGATGCAGACTACTAAAAACTAAACCATTGGACTGAGAGGAGAAAATCTTTCACATCAGGTCTCTTCCTTGAAAACTAAAAATTTTAGCCCTAGCTGGCGTTCCAGAAGGAAAAGGCTCGAGCACACAGGTTTATTTTCCTGATGACAAATAAAAATTCTATCTCTAGAGGGTCTAACTCAAAGTAGATCATTCTAGTTAGGATGAACAAAAACAAACTTTCTCTAAATTAAGATTTACAAAGCAAAACATTTGATATCTAAGTTACAATGCTGCTCAATACACGTTACGTATTTTAAAAGTAAGTCAATTCTAACAATAAAGTTAGAAATTCCATTGCAAATGGGACCTTTCACACATTAAAGATTTGTTCGTCATGACGTTCTGGTTTTAAACCACCTTTTTTGAAATCAGAGACGTATGTAAAAAATCTCATATTCAACTGTCAAAGATGTTCTGCAGTAGTTGTGGATACAGCCCTTTTTTAGATTTTTATACAAAGTTTTTCTTCCAGTCACGAAATAAAAATGCAGTTAGGGAGAAGACAATCTGCACTCTCTTAACTACAGAGAATATCATGGCATGTTCTGAATTTAAATTTGGATTGGGGAGGGGGGGCTTAAAAAAAAAAAAGAGGCATAAGACGGCCTCAGGCAAGAAGCTACCTAAAATGAAAGTTTGAAGTCCAGAATACAAGTTTGCTTCTGTTCGGAGAAAAGAAATGGACATGATTGGGGGGAGGGGTGGGGAGCGGCGGCTGCGCTGCAGCGGGCGATAGGACCGCGCAGACGCCGCTCGCCCCCGCAGCGCTGCGCGGGCTCCGTCAGGGCAATTAGAGCCGCGCCGGCCGCGCAGGGCAGGGCGCTGTCAGCCTTAATCTGCGCGCTGACGGGCAGCACGAAGCCGGGCTCAGCCCGCAGGAAGCACGACCAGTGAACCCATATTGCTTTGACAGTTGCACTCATCTAGAAATAATGCAAAACGCTATTTAGATGTATATATCACGACCCTGTGCTCTAGGAAGAAAACAATCTAATGAGGGGCTGGGAGTCTGCTCGCCGACAACAAGCAGTTAGGAGACGTGTGGACGCGTGTTCGAGTGTGGTTCCTTTGCTCCCCTCCCCCGTCTCCTCTCTCTCCTCTTACAGCTCTTCGTGCTTTATTCTGTGGGAGCGCCGCATCAGCGCCGGCTTGAGGGAGCTGGTCTTGGCCTCTGAGGCTTCGGTAAAGAATTTGAAAATAGACGGGAAGCTCTTCCAGGAAGTTAGCTCGTGACGGTCGGTACCTGCAGAAAACAGACTCGATTACGAGGTGGCCCAGCTCGGCGGCGGCACAGGGCGGCGACGGCAGCCGGGTCCAGCCAGTCCTCCGACGCCCGAGGTCGG